GTATTCGATGCATTTTCGGCTTCCAGATCACGCTTCACGGGCCCGGAATGAGGTCCCGTGATGATGCCTTCAGACCGGTCTCCGAAGCCCACCACCCTCGTGCAACCCACTCGCCTGGTTTTACCCTTGCAGAGCGCAACTTGTATAAAGATTTGTACAACCGGGCGAAACGGCCAAAATCGAAAACTGTATCTTACATATCTCGCTAGTTCTACTCTTGAAAAGCGAAAACGTCATACGATCTGGAGATTATACCGGCCGTCCGATCATAGTCGTCTCGCACTGCCAAGTAGTCCGTGAATCTCTTCCATGAATGAGGCTCAGCCCCTGGTCGAGGGCCGCACCTATGACTGCTTCCGGGCGTACCATAATCTCCTCGCTGCTGCCTTGCTCGAAGTAGTATGTATCCGCCATGTCTATCTCGACCATAGAGGCACCCCGCTTCCGCCCCAACATAGCGGTGGAGCCGGTCGAGGCAGTCTGCGATCACGAAACGGTAGAGCACCCCTTTCAACGAAGCATAGCGCTTCCTTGCCTCACCGATAGCCCTTTCGTGAACGCGATATGCAAGGCAGCAAAGTCAGGGGTCGCGTTGGGCGGAAGTACGAGTGTTAGCAGCCTGTTTCCATGCACGGACTGCTGTACGTTCCTGATACAAACCGGTGTAGGCAAGGTGGTCGCTCCGGAGCCCGACCTGAGTCATCCAAAGTGGGGTGCTGAGTGGGCGGCGGCTATGTGCATGTTGAGACAGGCCAAGGTAGAGCATAAGCATGCCGTCTCATCGGTCTTTCTCAGAAGCTTTCGAACTATGACATCGGTTTCTGTATAGCGTAGCTGCGATAGCCGTCGTTCGCGACGTGAGATACGGTGAGACCGTGGGTCTGACAGAAGGCGTCTACGGCTCTCCTGACTCCGAAAGTGTACTCGAACGGACATCTCTCCGGATTCACCGAGTAGTCGTGGCCCGTCAACCATCCCCCGCCCCTCAGCCTGGATAATGCCGCCGGGAGGTCTCGCATGACGCCTTCATATGTGTGATCGCCGTCCAGATAGACGACGTCGAAGTAACCCTCTCTCCCACGACGTCAAGAAGAGCGGGTCGACCGGAGTCGTCTTGGCTCTCGTGCTGACTCGGAACGAAAAGATCCGGTGGCGCCAGAGCCTCTTCCTGAAGCCCCGGATGCCCCCCCTCTTCGTCTGGACGTAGTCCCTGGCATATGTGTGGACTACGCTCATGGTGAGGTAGTCTTCGGGCGTCCCGACGCGGGCGACCTCCGCCCACACGAGCCTCCAGCGCTCCCCCCGCTGCTCCACCTTGCCGCCCTTCCTGGAAGCGCGAGCGGCCATCATGTCGGCGAGACTCTTCCTGCCGTGCCGGAGCATCGCCGCGCCCATGACGTCGTCGAACTTGAAGTACCGCGGCCCCTTCCCGTCTCTGTACGGCTGCAGCATCTTCAAGTCCGCCGTGTCCAGAAAGTACTCCCGCTTGGCCACCTCGCTAGGCATCAGCGCGGTGTGTCGCGTCCACTCCGACAGTTCCTGGTTCCACTCGAATTCGATCGTCGGATCGCCACGCGGCCCGAAGGTCGCGTGATACGTGCACACCTCGTCCACGCACGGGTACATCTCCATGCACTCGTCCGGCAACGGGAGGGCCTTCGCCCTGACGGTGTCCCTCTCCCTCTTCCTCTCCCGGTAAGCCTCCTCCTTGTCCGGCCACACCACCCTCACGGCCGCTTCGAAGGACTTGGACGCGCATGCCAGAGCGCTCAGCCCCGTTGCGTCGATGTCCGAGTGGTTGTCCAGAAGCTCCAACAGGACGCCCGCATCAACGGCCTCCATATAATATCGCGAGGAGCGTCAGGAAGATGAGTCTGCCGACGACTCAGTGGGTCGCCCAACGCAGGCTGGGGAAGAAGCTCTATGCCGACGCAGTCTCCAATCGGATCGAGTGGCTGCAGCGGGTGGCGAACAGGAAGGCCTTCGCCTCAGCCTATGTCAGGTACGCCGACGAGACCGACGGCAAGGAAGAAACGCTGGGAGACTACGTTCTGGAGGAACACTTCGAGGACGTCGGGCACGGCGGTGGACGCGCCGGAATCGTCTGCGTCGCGCTGGGTGCGGCAGGGGTGCTCCTGATCCTCTTGTCCTTCGTGGGGTGACCCCGGCAGCTTCCTTATATGTGCAAGAGCTCGAGGCGCTCCGAGAGTACGTCGTAGCCCTCGCTGACGACGACCAACTGGTAGCCGCGCATCGCGACCGAGGGGTCCACGTACGTCAGGTTCAGCAAGGTCGTGAACGAGGAGAGGTCCAGGGAGCCGTTGGGCTGCCGCACCAGCTCCGGGACCGCCGTCGACTCGA